CCACGAGAGTTTTCGGCCTTTTGGGTGGACGGGCACTGGAGGGGAAACGGGAGCTCTCCCTGTTTAGCGCGAAGGCTGGTCCCGACCCGCCAAAGCGTCAGCCATTTCTGGCCGGCAACTTTCAGCGTCATTAAGCCGCTGCGCCACCGCGTCCCCCGTTATACTTTATATACATTTTTTTTTAAAAAAAATCCTAAAGATCACAGGAATAATGGGACATATAATTTGGGACCAGTTAGGTGGAATTGCAACACAAAAAGTTAATGACAGGCAGAGCGATTAAAAAAATCTGAATTTCCAAGTCTGTACCTGGGGATTTATACATTTATTTCTTGGCAAAATATGATTTGAGCATATTTCACGTATGCTATGGTTTTGCTTTTCCTCTTCCATTACAATTCATTACAACAAGGCAGGTGGAGGAGTGTGGTGGGTCAAAATACATTTTCTGAAACAGTTCATCATTATGTAAAAGCAGCGCGGGTCTATAGAAATAAAATGGGGAAAGAAGGAACATAAAATCTACTGCCATCAGGAGGTATTAGCGGAGAGGATATGTGTTAAAGAAGAGGGTGTTACATCATATCACACTGATCCTTTTGTTTATAGAAGCAGTTGTTTTCTATACAAATGATGTCCCTACAATTTTAGCACAATGTGTTTTATACGAGGAAATGAATAGCCAATTTCTTAAAGGAGAGAATGACTGGGGCGTAGAGAAGATTGCTATCCCAGCAAAAATCACTGAAATAATGGAGGGCATTTTTAAAACCACCTGTATAGTACAGTGCAAATGGATGACTTGTTCTGGGGGGACCTGAACCAACTCATAAACCTGTCATCAGTCAGAACTAAAGTTAGATATGTTTATTATTTAGATATATGGCAAGTACTTGATTTTAGCATAAAAATCTACTTCAGATTTCCATATGTATTGCAACTTCAATTCCTAGTCAGCTTGTCCAGAGGCTGGATAAAAATTCCCTGAGCTGGTTTCAGCATATCTGGAAGACCTCAATACATGGTCACCTCAGTGGGCAGAAATCTGATGCCAGCAGTAGGGAGGTGTGGAAATGTTTGGGGGGGAGAGGACAGGACAAAGGCAGCCTTTCATCAAGTGGTTCTAAGACCTTTCATCCATTAAGTAAGTTCCAGAATTGGATTCATCTTCTACAGTGGACTGGGGCTTAGGTATCCAACCTCCTTCCAATAGTAATTGAAACTGGGAAGGAGGGGGAAGGAGGGAATGAAGTGGGGAGGAAAAAAAGAGTCCAACAAATGCCAGCACTCAGGAGCTAGAAAGGCTTTGTAAGCCTTGATGAGCTCTATTTCATTCTCACCCTGCCCCACAGGACTGCAAATTTGTAATTCTGTGATACAGGGCTATTTAGTACTTGACAGCCCAGCTGAATTCTTTATTCAGAGCATTACCAAATGAAGAGGTTCTAATTCTTAAAACACTGGAATTGTGAAATGATTACTCATTCTGAGTGTTAGACCTAAAATTCTATATTCAAAATTTAGATAGTGAAAGTGCATGGAATCATTTATTTTTATAATGATAGGTTTCTGATAAAGATCCACTGTGAATAGGTTAAATCATAGGGATAAATAAAAGAAGACTACATGTGTTAATCATTCTTGTCTTTGTTTAGAAAAACTTTATCAACACAAGCATAACAATATAAAAATCTAGCTAATTCTACAGATAAATACAAAGTGTGAGTATGTGCATATACTTACCCACATAACACTTTTGTGTATTGCTTATTTTTCTCCAGAAAACATAGAGAATGGACCTCGACTTTTTTGAATATTCATCCAGGTTCTGGATACTTTTAAAGCTCACTTTTAAATAAATATGTATATACATACATACATACATACATACATACATACATACATACCCATCAAGCTATTCTATCCCAGAGTAAGCAACCTTATGCTGAACACAAAATGAATAAGAAATAGTAAGACAAATAAGTTAAATGTACGGATTAAGAAAAAGAAATAACTAAAACTAGATTACCCTAATACCACTATATCTCACAATATCTTTCTGTCTTTGCAAACCATTCTTATTTCCTCCATATTCATGTACCCTGCTTTGCACACTGTATTTTGGTGTTTAAACTCCCAACAGTAAATAATATATGTAGCTCAGGGTTGAACTGTTGGGTTCCAGTGGTTCTCTGAGCGTTGTTTCCTTGCAGACATTCCATAACCAGGCTAGGAACATCTGGTGATATTACCTAGCCCATTAATGAAATGCCTGAAGAAACAAGCTCACAGAACACCAAGAACCCAATGGCCTTTAAACTTCTCACCTGTTTCATTTAAGGTTATCATTAATCCAACCATAACTTTTTTGATCTTCCCCTTCCTCTTGACTCATTCATTCTTCACCTATTTCTTTTGCAATTTGATCTTCATTCATACATGACAAAACCACTGCAAAATACTTGTTTCATACTGGCCATTCAGCCTTATATCCATTTTATATTTGATCAACATTCATTCTTGATCCTATCTACTCTTGTAAAGCCTGTAATGCCTTTGGTACTGCTAAGTAAAGCTTCCGATTGCATTCAGCTTAATTTTTCTCTTGACCTATCCAATTCCCATACAAAAAACAAAGTCTTACAGCTATTTTTGCTTCTTTCATTCCTCATAAAGATCACCTACCATCTATTATCTTACTACCAGCATTTGTACTTCCTAACATTTTCCCATCCATTTCCCCATCTGTAATAAACCTTCTACCAAGGTAGGCAAATTCGTCCACTTGATGTAGTTTTTCACCATGTATGCATAATTTGCAATTGTTAGCTCCATTTTCCCTGTGAGCACAGCTACCTTGTTTGTTGTCACATTAATTTTTAGCTCCATGCTCCTTGTTGCATCATATAATTTAAGTTTTCACCCAACATGACACTGTCTGCATATGAAAGTGCATGTATATTCAGGTCTCAAATCAACACATCCCTCCCATCACCACAAGCATCCTTTATAAATACATCAAACAGCCAAGCGGATGTCACATATTCTGGTCTTACTCCCTGCTCAGTGATGAAACACTGGCATTACATTTGTCACGTATTGCTCTTACACATGCTGAAAAAGAAAAATCTGATCTGCATACTTCCTGCCCAACATAGCCACATGGTACTCCCCAATTTTTGCTCACTGTCACCTACTGCACGTCTTCAGTCAGAATGCTGCCATCCACCTGCCTAACAACAAATTAATTCTGCTTTGTTTGGTATTTTCTATGTGTGTCCTGCATTATTTCTTGCTATTTTCACTGCTGTATCGGGAAACAATTTCAGCATTCTTCCAATCATCAGGCACAAATGCAGTCTTCACAAATATGTTACCAAAGTTGCACGACCACTATAAAGAGATCACATGGTTATTTTAATATTTCTCCAATTATACCCATACACTTTCAAGCCTTATCATTATTCAACATCCTCACAGCATTTACAACAACTTTTCATCACTTTTTCTTGCATGCAACATTTACAGCATCCATTTTAATGTCACTCTTTGATGTACAGTAATTCCCATACAAATCTCTCAAATACTATTTTCACCATTTCCTCCATTCAGTTCCATACCAATTCATCACAACTTTAATTCCATTCACTCTCTTTGAGGCTCTTTATTTTGCCCACTTCAGTCATTTCAAACAATGTTTTTATTTCCATCTAAATTGCGCTACATTTCCTCTGTCTTTTTTAACCTTAGCCTTTCTCTGTTTTCTTAGATAAAAATTGCAACTATCTTTTTCTATACAGATAGTCCTCAGTTAACGATGGCAATAGGGACTGGAACTGCCATTGCTAAGTGACATAGTTGTAAAGAATGACATCACATGACCACACCACTTAGCAACAATTCCGGCAGTCCCAGTTGCTGCTGTTAAGCAATCGCTGCAGGTCGTTAAGCGAGGACCTCACTTGTCACATGTCGCAAGTACCACTTGTTGCACGTCACAAGTTTGAGCAGTTGCTGAACAAGTGGTCATTCACTGAGGACCACCTGTAATTTTTCTCATCATTTTTGTAGCATTCTTTTACATGCATTTTTTTTCTCATCCCCAGCCTTTTTCATCTCATTATCCCACCAAGCATTCTTTCTCATTCTTCCCATTAGTCTTCACACATTTTTCTGTTACAATCACCATTATTTTCACTCTGTCCTGAGCAGGTTCCATATCCTCTTTCCTTATCTCTCCTTTCCGTTCATTTTGTTAGTAGATTTATACTTTCTCTTCCTTCCTTTTCTCCTTTCACTCTAGTTTCTTTCACTTCTTTCCTTTCATTCCTTATCCACTTTCTCCAAAGACAAATTGTGGACATTACCAAATCAATCATAACTTTAGATTTTTCATCATTCCCTTGCCATGTGCATGTACAGTCTTGTGCTTAAATCACATACTCAAAATGGACCATTTTCTAAGCAGATACTCACCAGTTACTTTTCTCATTTGTTTCTGCATTTCCAAACAATCCAATAACTTTTGCTGTACTATCTTGTCTTGTTCCCACCCATTTGTATCACACCATGGACTGCATTCATTCTCAAAACTCATTGCTGGTTCTTCTGGAGAACCTGGAGCATAACATGCAACTATTACTAGTCTATGGATTCTTACTTTCATATGTATCCACAACCTAACATGACACCAATTCATACTTTCTGACATACATTTTAGCTCTTTTCCTTCCCTGCATGGCTTCATCAACTCTACTTTGCAAGATCTGAATACCTCCATTCAAACCTGTTACATCTTCCCCTTTCCTAGTTTCACAAACACACAACATGCTTAGCTGTCTTTCATTTGTTAATTCATGCTCTTCCTACCTACACATTTTACATCCAAATTGCAATATTCTATATGCCATAACCAACATCAGAAAGGCCTGCACATAATGAACTTTTTGCTTATTGTGGCATTGGTCAATTAAAGCTTTCAGCCAGTGCTTTTTTGTAAGTCAGAGAAGGTGTAGACTAGAATACTAGGCTTAGCGGCACCATGCCACAAGCAGCAGTCCCTTTTAGTGCAAGAACTGGAGCAGTCAGTTTTACACACTTTCACAGGTACGCCACAAGCTCAAAGCCCAATTTCACTCCAAGCAAGCTCATGCTCTTACATGCAAACCAGGATCTCTAATCTAGAGACTACCTTGCAAAGTAACAAATTGCTGCCTGTATCTCACTAACAAGGAGGCATATGCAGTGTAGTGACACACACGCACAATCTCTTTTAGACGATAACAGGGAGAGTTGAAGTACGTGGCTCAACATACAAAATTTGAAATTGAGAGTTGTACATAGTGCAAAGTATATCACAATCTGATAAGTGTATATTTAAAAGACATACATGTTTGTAAGCTATTGTCAGGACTGGGTCAAGCTCCTGATTAGTTGTAGCAAATTTAGCTTTACAAAGCTGAAATTGGTGAACCATTTTCAGCAAAAAGGCTTGGTATATCCTACTCTGCTATGTAGCAATCCTAATTCCACCCCCACACTCACCCCTTACACACGTGCACACACACACACACACATCAGTGGGACTTGCAGGAGAATCTTATCCCATTCTACTTCAAAACCAAGAAAATCTATTTTGCTGGCTCAATCCTGATTAGCTAATTCTCTGGCTTCCAGATCTCACCCTGCGTCAACCATCCATCCCCTTTCCAACATTTTACATGGCCAAAGCTTGAAAACATGTTTTGTTGGAAGCATTTAAGAAGTATTCTTTTGCACTTAGGGTCAATTCCCTACTTTTTCTATGGTGGTGCAAAATAATAACCTACAAATTGCCCTGACTATGATTACGCATGACTTTTTGTACAGTGGTATATTTGAGGATCCAAAGAACTCTGATTTGGGGTATGACAGACTTTTAGTGATCCCAATTAAACCTGTTAATACATTCAAGTTGAGATTACAAATTACAAGAGAAAAATTCTTCCATGTAAAGTTACAGTCATAAATATTATTATAAATAAGTAAAATTCTACTGAATTTAGTACAGTCTGTTTCATGGTAATTGAGTGAAGAGTTGTAGCTCTCTTTGGCCTTTATAAGAGGCCTACAGAAGGAGTGGGGGTGAAGAACGTGACCTGGTCTTCAAAAGGAAAAGGCTGATACAGCCACAGACTGCAAGGGGAAGGTGGGAAGAAGGTGGGAGGTCACTGCTGCTCACCAAAGGGGAAAATCAGAGAAAAGTAATGAGGAGGAAGTTTCTTTACCGTCCACCTTTGGAATGTTTATAATCAGTACCATCATTATTACTTTAATTTCAACACTTCCCTGATTGCACCCCTGTTGTGCAGGCTCTGAAGGGTTAATGTCATCACTGAAAAGCTGACCCTCCAAAAAATCAATACCATCCTCCCTCAGCATCTTCCTACAAAGCCAGGCTCGTGAGGCAACGAGGTGACTAAAGTAGTACCATAAGTCATTTTTTAAATTAATGGGTGAATTCTAAAAAAAAAAGGAGGTTCTTTAAATGTTCTTTAATCACAAAAAATATCTGGGCTCTTTTCAGATGATGGCTATTAAGCAGGTTTATTTTTTGTTTTGCTTTGTTTCTCAGACTGAGTATAAAACACAACTATATAGTTTACTATAATGCCAATATGGCTGAATACAGGTAAACAGCTCCACAGCTGAAAGGGAGTAAAACTGCACACTCCAAGGAAATATATTTTGATTTTTTATATATTTATATATTTATATATATACACACGCACACCCGCACACACACTCACACACCATTAAAAAAAACAGCAAAGCATCAGGAAAACAACATAGTGGCATTAAGAGCAGTAGTGTGCATTCATATAGTCATCGGTGAATAGCTGGCCCCTGGAGGAAGGAATGGATTTTTCCAGCATGTCTAATAGGACCGGAAGCTGGGATGGCTTCAAAAACTGCAGGGGGGGGGGGGATTCCAAGAGAAGGCGAATTCTCCTTGTTTCAGAAGCGGTGCTGCCTCTACTAAAGCAGCCCGTCTCTACCAGCCATTTAACAGCGCTATCATCAGCCAGTGGTTAGTCTGATGCTTCTCTCTCCCTGGTGAGAACACAAGGGATGGAAATGCCTCTTCCATTTATAAAAGCAAATCTAAAATGCTCCAAATTAATACTGTCAAAACTGAGAAGAGTTAGATAGTCCATAGTAGGGCTGGAAGATCAGTTGCATATTCTTCCTCTTCCTGATAGAAAGTGGCTTTGAATTCATGGACTGGGTGCAAAAGGAAAAAAAAGTGCCTACAGGGTGCATTTCCATTCAGGTCTTTTGTCTGTTCTCTCTAACTAACTAACTGTGTGCCTATTTATAGCAAGTGTTAGCTTTGTACTCCCCAAAGCTGAATACTGACACGTTCATCTCCAAAGGTTCTGTCACGTTGGGTAGTCTCTGCAATGGTCCTTCAAGCCCACCTCTTTGGCGCTGGGCTGATCCACTCTCAAAGGGTAATTTTGCTGTTTCTGTTGCTCCAGCAGCCCTTCCTGTTGGTCCTGGGAAGAGTCAAGCTGGAACGGCTCCTCAGTTTCACTTGTCCGTCGAGGGAGTTCTTCTTCCGCAGGACAAAGTCAAAGTTCACCTGGCTGTTCATGGCATAAAAGACGTTTGCGCTATCTGGGATGACTAGTTCTGGAAAGAGCAGAAACAATGGTGACAAATGGTGGATAGGCCCCTTCTATCTTATATTCATGTCATTAGGGCATGCTGGGGCAACTGTTAAGGCTGGAGCTCTTCCAGAGCAGCTTCCTCCTTCGTCGAAGGAAAACCAATAGAGTTGTCCAAAACCTTCCAGCAGGGCATACCCAAAACATGTTGAATGAGCAAAGCACCCCACCCCACCCCTCCTCCAAGCATTAAAACAGCCACATCTTCTGAATGCTTGGCGTAGCTGTTCTGCGAGCTTCCCTGTCTGCCTGCACAAGAAGGTCCACGTAGGCCACACTTCCTCTGCGTGCACAAGCATATACAGTCAATCACAGAAGTCCTTTGAAGCAGCCTCACCAACTCTTCCAGAGACTGCAAATAATTTAATGCTTTGATGTGTGTATATGTGGGGGAAAGGGTTCACTTACACCAACACACTTTAGAAAGCACCCCTATCCATCAACTCCAAAATTAATCTACGCAGAGACTTCTGTTTATAGAGCTAGTTTGACTCTGAGTGGACTCCTGGTGATGCATTTCTGAAGTGGGCCGAATTTCTGCTCTCTCCCAACATTCTTCCCATTTGTTTTATTACAGAATTGAAAAGAGTTGCCAGGGAACAGGAGCTCGGCTACTTGTTATGTTACTGCCTTCTACCATTCTCTAGGCTAGAGACGGCAACTTTTTTGTGCTTACTGGATTCACCATCATTATTCTTATGGCCTTTGAAGGTTACACTATGCAGTGGCAAGGCGATGTCACCAGAGACATTTTCTTTCTGTGTTAGATTTATATCTTACCTGTGTTAGATTTATATCTCACCTTTCCTCCAGGAAGAAAACATTTCTTCCTCTATGTTCTTTCTCAGCAACAACAACCTTGTGAGGTAAACAGAGTTGAGAGACTGGCTAGCCCAAAGTCACCCAGTGAGCTTCTGTGGCTGAGGAAGGACTTGAATGTGGACCTCCCCAGTCTTAGTCCAACCATATACTGGCTATCAGCCCTGCTTGGTTGGTTTGTGGGGGTGGGCAGGGTTGTCCTTCTCTTTAAAGGAAAACAGCTGCTGATTTTGTAACTGTATTTCAGCAGCATATTTATTTATTAGATTTATAACCCACCCTTCAAGGTGGCATACATAGCACTCTATGTTCCTATTTTTCCTCACAAAAACCTTGTGAGGTGGGTTGGACTGAAAGAGCCTGACTGTCCCTATATCACCTAACTGGCTTCCATGCCAGAGGACTAGAACTTGTGGTCTCCTAGTTTCTAGTTCAGCACCTAAACCATTACACCCAATTTTTCTCTTGTGAAGCTTGGCTCACCTAGCCCTAGGTGAGCTAGCCATTAACAGAGAAATGCAAGAAACTAGGGATAACCAATGATGTCCTCCAGATATTTTTAACAATTCACATACTTTCCAATAGCATGGCCAATGCTCAAGGACTGTGGGAATTGTAACCTAAAACATCTGGAGACATCAGACATAAGCAAGAAAAGGCAGAAGGCTGAGTAATGGTCCCAATTTGTCATTCTGTTTTTTTGGATTTCTTCTTATCAATCTTCCCAGCCTATCTCAGTAAGCAAAGTAGCACCTACTTATGAGGTGGTGGGTGTGGCAACAGCTAGGTTCTTAAAAATTTGAAGGTTAATGCTTCTGTGAGCTGCAGTTCATGTCATCAGATGAATCACTTCATCAGCTTCAGCTCACAAAAGCATTTGCCTTTTAATAAAATGTGTTAGTAGGAAAAGATGCTACTAGACTACTGATTTTTGGCTACCATAGACTAATCTGGCTATTCTACAATGTCTACAATGAGAACATCAGTTTTTTAAGCTGCTCTTATTTGAATGTCTTCTATCTCAGATCTGTTTCTTTAGACTTCTTCATAGAAAGTATTTTTTGCCTTGACAGACCTATTCAGGGGCTCTACTCTAAACTTGATAAAGTGACTTTCTGTAAATCTTTCCAGTGCACATAAAAGGGAAATACTCATTCCATCAAGAGTAGAAGTGATTTACAGAAATAGG